AGGCAGTGGGAGGGCAACGGGCGGCTAGGTCCCACTAGTAAAGAGAATTTTGGACTGCGCGTGAATGTCGACGGACGGAGGTTGGGAAGATGCAGAAAATCGTGATTCAACTGCTTTTCTGCAACTCTTCTCAAAACACGTCCAGATTCAGGAGCTTAATCCAATCCTCTTTGGTAGGAGGACCTCGCCCCGGCGGCAGTGGGACTGTTGTTGGGCGGTGCACAAGTGAAGCACTACCTTATTCACCCCAATACGACCTACGGTCATTATTGCTGTATTTAGACGGAAAGATAACCTGAATACAGATATAAAGCCCGTACGTTGTATTCGGGCGAAGAAGGTGGTGGTAGTGTTCATTGATGAAGAGCTTGAGGAATAGAGCCCGTGCTTGAATTTCATCACGGAGAAAGTGCGGATGCAGGAGCCATGTGAAGGTGAGGTGCCATTACCAATAGTCAAAGATTATACAATACTTTGATGGTATCTAAGGTTTTGCACGCATCTGGCCACAGTCCAGGCTAGATTCGGTGTTGAGACATTGGCTTGAGTGAGATGAGAGAAACGTGGGATTGTGCTGATGCTTGAGCGGACATCCTGGCATGATCGTCAGGGGTTTGCCGACTGTCTAAGGTTTTGCATGCATCTAGCCACAGTTCTAGGCTACATTCGGCCTGGAGAGGTTCGCTTGAGTGAGATGGGAGAAACGTGGGATTGTGCTGGGGCGTGAGTGGACATCCTGGCAAGGGTTGTCAGGGGTTTGTTGACTCTCTAAGGTTTTGCATGCATCTAGCCTTAGTTTCATGCTAGATTTGGCCTGGAGAGGTTGGCTCCTGGCGGGGTTTGCCGACTCAGGTTTTGCATGCATCTAGCCACGATTCCAGGGTCGATTCGGCGTGGAGATGTTGGCTCCTGGTGTAATTGGCAGGGGTTTGTCGACTCCCTGTGCATACTGTCAACTGGAGGGAATAATGTTGCTTCTTTTCTGTGCTGAAAGGATCGTTTAATATAGGGCCTCCCTCCACTACTCTTGACATGCACAAAAGACACAAAATATGGCAAAATGTATCTTTCCAGGGTTTAGCAGAGGATTCAGTCTCATTTTGCACGTTCCGAGAGCACTGGAGCCAGGCCCATAGGCGAGATATCTCTATCCCTGTTGCATGAGTTCTGCTGGTTATGTAGTACCTCAAGATATATTATTGTTATTATATTTTGAGTTTGACAGTCCTCGATATATTTTGATTGCACAAACACAAGCATGTCCATGTCCTCTGTATCTGACAAAAGTCCTGTTTCGACGAAAATGCGCTACAGAATGCTACTAAAACCGAAGGACCCGGGGCCCAAAAAAAAAAAAAAAAAAAAAAAAACGAAGGACCGGGAGCCGCTCATCAAGGAAAGATGGAAAAAGTTGTTAGGTCAGATTATGGAACCAATCCCCTAATTTCCCTGGAGAAAGTACCAATCAATTCACGCAGTCAAGATCAGAAGTCTCCAAGAAGTCTCCAGTGGCTGATGATTACCTACAATGCACTCCCAGTGAACGCCTGGCTACCCATTCGAAGAAAACAATGCGACCCAAATGGTTCTGAACAAGTCCTTCGGGACATCCGTTAAAATTGGAACGATACAGAGAAAGGAAGATTAGCATGGCCCCTGCGCAAGGATGACACGCATAAATCGAGAAATAGTTCTGAACAATGTATAGTATGCCCTGACAATGTACAGAAGGACCGGATTCATTGCACAGTTAACTGTCACCTTGCTACTGATCTAGGGGCGAGAGCCTCAGCACGCTGGGACCACCTGTTTCCTTCCTCCCTACCGGAACACCCTATCCCGCTGCTCTTATGGACTAACGTCGCTTCTCAATTCAGCAAGCCCGAGCGTATCTGGTTTGGGATAATAAGAAAAGTGACACTATGGGTCATACGGAAGGCGTCGTGTAGCCGGATGATTGACAACGCCAGCTTGCCGTTGGAACAAGTGTGGGCATCAACGAGAGTCTCCATCATGGAGACTTGACTTCCGGTGCCAATGGAAGAAGGTCAAATTCCAAATTCAGCAGGATCTGGACAAACAACAAGAAATGATGGCCAAGTTCCAGAGGGTGAGGGTGTGGCTCGTCCCTGGGAAGATGGTGGAAATTCAGTCCCGACAAATTGGATGGAAAGACTTGGACACCTCGGTTACTCCCCAAAGAACGAGGCTCCCCCCTCCAGACTGGACACCATGACCACAGGGGTATGTGACCCCCCCGGAGACTCACTCGGTGAAAGGTGACAACAGGGCCGTCAGCAGTCTGTCACACCCATTTGGTGCTTCAGAGGAATAGGAGGCTGACCAGGCTCCAACCAGCAGCTGATGTCTGTCTTCCTTGCTTTAATCGTAAATTTTGACAGGTTCCAACGAGGAATCGTAGAGGGAACCCAGGGACAGGCAAGCTGACAGTCGATCCACCTGTAAGGAGCAATCAATGCTGCTCAGGGGGTCCTTCGGCCAAACAGAAGGAAGCGTGAGCGTGTATCTGGGTGTATTTACTATTTGACTTGCCGGTGGAATAGGAACCGGACTGATGCTCCCTAGAATGGACAAGGAGCCAGGGCCATACGGACCTGTTAAAAAAAAAAAGAAAAAAAAAAAAGGGCCCTCTGAATGGTCTGGTTTATGGTTTCTGGTCTTCCTGATGTTTGCGTTGGTCTTCTTTCCACTCTACATATCTTATGAGGTTTTGAGCTGCTGATAATCAGGCAGGAAAAAGAAAAAGAAAACGAAAAAAAAGAAAAAAAAAAGGAAAAAGAGTGGTTTTGTGTATACTTACCGATGCTATAGTTAAGTTCCATGTCCCCTTTTTTTTTTCCTTTTCTTTTGTTACAATCCTGGCCAATTTTGAAGTGCACATTCACGCGAAAGTAGAATGCCGTCCAACTGTGAAAAGAGATGAATCGCTGCTTCCAACCAGTGCTCCAGCAGCGAGATGCCAAACTTGCACGCAACAAAAATGAGGAGCTCATTGCTCCTCCTGGAGATATAGCGGCCAACCTGCCTCTTGGGCGTTGACTTCCAGGCAGTACGGCCTCCAAACAACTGGTACCTCCTCCCTTTCGAAGGGAAAGATCATTGCAGAATCTGATATCGTCCGTGCAGGCCCTAGACTCCGGCTACTTGGACTGGTAACTGCCTAGACCTAGCCTACCGCTACTGGGCCTCTAGAATACTAACTTCTTTTTGGCTTCTTCTGCTCGGCCTGTGGTTCACGACACATCTACCGCTACTTGAGTGGTGCTGGCCTACCTGCTACTCAAGTACCTACAGCCTACACTACAATGACTCGAGTGTGCCCTAAGCTACCCCCGTCGGCCACTTGAGTGTTTTTCCCTGCCGCAGCCTCGAAGTCACGGCCACAGGTAAGTACCGGCCCTATGGGTCTCCCAAACAAACAAGGGCCCTGGCGGGCCACACACACACACTCAGGCCGACAAGCACTCTACTCAGACAGGCACGCAGACCAGCAAACACGCACACACACATACTTAGAAAGCTCAGCAGAATGCGGGAATCTCAGCGAGGCATTCATTCCAGCAGCAAAACTCAGAAATCAGCTGTGTTCTCAGTGCGTGTTTCGGCAGGTCCGTACAATTTCATAAAAGTCTCATGTCCCTTTTCCATGCAGATGAGTTAGAAGTGTGGCTGGATTCACACTCTGGTTGAGACTGCACGACTTTACATGGCGGAACAGTATGGTCGACTTTTTAAATGGGATGTATTAAACTACTGTCTTCACCCGAAAATAATGCCCGGGCATTGTATACGAATATTAACGCCCGCCGGGTTTTGTATACGAATATTAATGCCCGCCGGGCGTTTTATTCGTTTATAACGTCCGGGTGTCATACTCAGCAAATTGGTGGCAACTTCGGTGGGGGCCCAAAATTCCGAAAAAACAAAATTCAAAAAATTCTGTAAAAAAATATGTTGTCCAGAATTGCAATGCAACCATCTTTTGGCTGAGGGTCACTACAGAATTCCTTATAGACCTGGAAAAAAAAACAAATCGAACCGAAATATGCCCCTTGGAAGTCAAAACCCCTTTCAACCCCCTTTTAAACCCATGTATATCCCCCTCCCCGCCCTTTCAAACCCTTGTGTACTACCTCTACAAGGCACTCTGCCCATGGAATGCTCAAATGTAACGCCCGGGAGTTCTATTCGAATATAACGCGCAGGGGTAATATTCTAAGGGGTGTTCTATTTGAGAAAAAGAGAGTAAAAACGAGAATCTGATCTTCGCCCGGGCGTTATTTTCGGGTGAAGATGGTAGGTTCCCTCTGTTCGATTGCAGGTGGTGTGTTGTTCATAGCTCTCACTGCAGAGCAGAAGTTGCGTCTCACTGCAATATCCGGATTACCTGCTCACAGAAGCAGGAAAAACAAAACAAAACAAAATAAAATAAAAAACAACATAGGTGGTTATCAAAGCTCTGCTTGTTCGGTGTATAGAGGATGCTCGGGAAAGAGAACAATAAAAGACAAAATGTGAAATTTTGAAACAGTTTGACGGATGACCAAGTCGCTCACAACATTTTTTTTGTGGCCCCGCCCCCTTTGTCGTGGTCATGCATACCTATGTCGACATGTTCGTTGTCCTGCCTCCCTTTTCCAAGGGGTGTGCATGTTTTCTAAGGTTGGAGTGTGTGTGTGTGTGCGTGCGTGTGTGTGTGTGTGTGTGTGTGTGTGTGTGTGTGTGTGTGTGTGTGTGTGTGTTCAAGATTTTTCTTTCTCATTCTTTGTTTTCTTCGTGTTTCCCCCCCTCCCCACAGGGGCCTATTTCTCTCTTCCAACAGTGGATCTGTTTCTCTCCCTCCCCACCTTCCTACCCCTAACTTTTTTTTCTTTCTTCATAAAACAGGTCCGTATGGCCCTGGTCCTACGCCTTTTTTTAATTCGCTTGTTTGTCAAACTTTTTCCTAAGAGGCCTTTATGATTCCAAATGCTGCACAGGTTTGGCGCTACGCTTCTTGCTTTTTTCTTCAGCTCGTCCAAGCTGTCAAAATTCAAGGCTGAAGAAAAATGTGAATTGGATGATGATTTCAGAGAAGGAGGGCAGCGGGATTGGTGAGTTTTTCTTTTCCATTTGAAATGGCGTTTTTCACTAGGCTACCAGAGTGGCCCAGGGCCACTTGCCCGGGCCCACTTGCCCTTCCGGGCCAAAGTAAAGGGTTACTTTCGATCCCTTGAGGAAATCTGTGGTGACTCGAAGCCAAATGTTGTTTGCAACTTTGCATTGGAATTCTACACATCCTGTTTTTTTCGGAGTTTTCTTTTTCTTTTTCTTTTTGATTTTGTGCTGTGTCTGCCCAGCCGGGAGTCCTCCACGGCCAGGCAGCTGGGTGTGTGGTGGTGGGGCAAGACATTCATGCCGGGGTGCACAGAAAAACAAGTATAAATAACCCAGCAATAAAAAACAAACTTTTATTTGAGCTCCTATGCCTGCAATGGCTGGGTCTACACGACTCTGCAGTAGTCTGAATCTTTTTTTTTTTTTTTTTCTGGGCGTCAGATGTGGTGGCTTTCAAAGGATGTATTACCTGTAGGATGGTGTTTGGGGAGTATTTTCACGACAAGGGCCGAGTCTCTGAAGCGTACTGGCAAGCACCCGCCATGCACACAGGCGTACACAGTGTGCAGTGCTGCACGACATGCGTGACACCCCGAAAAAGTGCAAAACGAATTCAGAACTTGAAAATAATTCGTTTTATTTATTTTTGTTTTATTGTGCACTGCACTTCTTGTTTCTGCACCGCACTGCGCACAGTGGCGGACACTCGCAGCTCGCATGTGCACTTGCAATTATGGTTTTAACTTTTGAGTTTCAAGGCCGTAAAGTCGAATCTGTTGGCATGGGGATACAATTCCTTTTGAGTTTTAAGGCCGTAAAGTCGAATTTGTTGGCATGGGGATACAATTCCGATATATCCTTCATTTTAGCTTCAGCCTTAGTCATCAGCCAGCAGCTTTAGTTTCAGCCTTAATCATCAGCCAGCCAGCAGCTATATTTTCAGCCTTATTCATCAGCCAGACGATATGCAGTAGAAACTGTAGAATAGTAACGAGCGCAGGCCATGAATTATAGCAGTTATGGGCACAGGACATGCAATGGAGTAGCAGCATATAATAGCAGTGGAGAAGTAGAGATAGTAATGGAATAGTTATGGGCACAGGACATGCAATGGAGAAGTAGAATAGTCATGGAGAAGTAATGAATTATTTCATTCAGAAGCTATTAGTTTCAGCCTTAGTCATTAACCACAAGCGATGTAGTAGAATAGTAACAAGCACAGGGCCATGAATTATAACAGGTATGTCCACAGGACATGCAATGGAGAAGTAGAATAGTACGTCAGGGACAGTCTGGCCAGGCTGGGAGTTGTGGCTGAGAGCTAATAGCCTGGTATGTCCTGAATTTCCTGTTGTTTTTGGCACAGTAGAGACCAGGCAGTGTCCACGATGCAGGCACAAAATCGGGGAAAGGGCTTGCTACGAAGAGGCAGAGACACACACACACACACACACACACACAGAGAGAGAGAGAGAGAGAGAGAGAGAGAGAGAGAGGGGGGGGGGGGGGGGGGGGGGGGGGGGGGGGGGGGGGGGGGGAGGAGGGGGTGTCATAGCCGACACAGGGTTCTGCCTGTCATGACGATTTGAACAGGAGTTCGTGATCTGTGGTCTGGAATGTTCACGTTGACTGTATCCAGCCGTGCACGTACACATGAGAGGGTTTCATTCTCGAATTTTATTCAGGTCGTACACATGCATCAAGTTGCTCGTGCCACAAAATTACAAAGAGAGATCAGAGGTCATTGAATTACACCTGTGGTCTACTCTTGCCATGGAGTGGCATGGACATAATTAATCTGTGACAAGATGGCGCCACAGATTTGTGTCCGGTTCTTCATCTCCACAGAAGTGGTGCTCAGCATAAGTAGCGATATGCCTCCTTCACACCCTGACAATTGCCCGTGCCGACTACCTTCTTCACCCGAATGCAACATACGGTCAGTATACCGTATGTTGTATTCGGGTGAAGAAGGTAGCGAGTCTGCGTTGTGCTGACATTGTTGATGGTCATGCGGCTACCGTATACCATGCTATCATACAGGACACGCATTTGCAGGCTCTCTTCTTTTAGGGCTTGAAATATTGCCTGAATGCCGGCACCATGGATGTGATGAATGCACCGAGATACAATCTGGACGATCATAGTGCTAAGGTTGTTTCGACCATGAGGTCAGCGTCCAGCAATGAGTCAGTAATCGCTGACAGCCTCTCCCAGTTGCGTAGACAATGGACTGCAAATCTTTCAAGCTGCCAGCAGAATCTTGTCGGTTCTATGAACCAGGCACCCACTCAGGCTTCCTCGCGGGCTGCCCACACATCCCTTTTGCCACGGTACCACCCGATAGAACTTCACACAACCTGGCAATCCTTTGCAGACGCTGGTACTCATACAGGCTGTCAATCATCTTGACAAGGCTGACATATAGCCGCCCATTGAAGTCTGTGGCAGGCATCCTGAAGGGCCATGTGCTCTGGACTCAACATTGGGGCTCTTGGCACATTGCCATATCTCTGCTTTGGTCATGAAGCACATAAATCTCCCCCTGCTCGTCGTCCCATTCTTGGGCTCACCCAACGTAACAATCTTTCTCGGCCAGTACCTTGCTCAACGGCTCGCTGGCCTTCAGTCTCAGATCTTCACAACAAGCCCCCTTGTAAAACTCTTGCTAGCACAACAATTGCTTCTCGCTCGACTGCGCTCTCCAAAGTGTGATGAACTCTCTGTGGAACAAGGATAATGAGCTTTATTGAGAAAGTGGTGTGCGATGCTGCTGGATTGTGCAAAGTGCAGAGGAGGTTGTCTTGGACCTCAAGCAGAAATGTGCACTGTCTTCGTCGCTCTAAGCCACACGCAGCAGATGTTACGACGTCGTACACTAACCTACCGCATGACAGGATCCTTAAGTACATGGTGAGCGCTGTTCATGAGGCTTATGATTTTGCCTTGGCGCTGGTTCGGCAGGACCGGAGGCCAGCACAAACATACATGGCAGTTTGGGGACTTCACAAGGCCCTGACGCTCAGTGTCAGACATCGAACAAAATCAACGGTTTGTGGTCTCCGACACTTTTATCTCTATACAAGAAATGACACTCTCTGCCATCAGGTGGTCGGCATCCCTATGGGCGCTAACGCCTGACTAGAAATCGCCATTCTTGCACTCTATTAGGACGAGGCACAGCCCATCCATGAACTTCATCAGCGGAACCTACATGCAGCGCAAGAATATGCATTTACATATCGGTCCATTGATGTCATCCTATCCTGGAATGGTCTTCGTCCGCCTCCTGCTTGGTATGGTCTGGAATGGAAAGACACCACAGAGCACGATGGTTCATGCCTTTTCTTGCGGGCAAGAATCTCGTTTCGGCTGGATGGGTCGCTTCGTATTGGTGTATTTGATAAGGCTGAGGCTATAGGACATTTCAGGTCGTACGGTATTCCTGCGCGTACTCCAATGCCCCAGCTCATCAGTTGTGCTCATGAGACAGCTGACAAGGTTTAAACGTATTTGTAAAAACACTGCCAACGTCAAAACTGCATGGACTTCCTTTACATGACGTATGCTCGCTTGGGGCCATCCCCCCTTTGTCATGGCCAGGGGTTGAAGTGCTTATATGTGTGGCGGACAGCGTTATCTGCCCACTCGTGCCACCCGACTTATAAGCTGGTTTCCCCACATGGTTTGCTGGCCACTTGCCCACCCACTGCTGAATGCCGTGACTGAGCATAGGCAGTATCAGTCCTCCACACAGTCGTATGCAGTGGGCATACCCTCCACAATCATTACCAGCGGGCTGACGACTACTAATGTGGATTCTGCAGTCCTGTCGGAAACCCAGCACGTCGTAGCAGACAACATAAATGTTGTCCAGTGGCTGCAAGGGATGATTGCCAGCACCCTGCCATTGCTGCTGCTGCTTAATGTGTGCCCCCACAGACTGAAGAGTGACTGCGGCCCCATCCTGCTGGTGACTTACAGGGAAGAAATCCGAGTGGTCGAAACTAGCAGAGGGCTAATAGCTTGCCGCCGCCTTCCCTTCTGGTTCTCCCCCTGCTGATTGCCCCCCACCACCACCAGCCCCCCCACCTGCATCTTCTCCTACACCATCCCCTCCAGCTACTGCCTCCCCTTCTTCTACCCCCTCCTCCTCCCCTTCATTGCCATCGTCATCATCAGCACATTGATGGTCAGATCGGCTGTCACAAGTGCGCCTGTGTTGCAGACGTTCCCCATCTCCAACGGCGGCCCGGCCTGTAAATGAACAGTATGATCATCTCACACGTGGTGAGTGTCACAGATGTACTGTGAGGCCATCATGGCAACCTTAGGGAACATGCCGTTGCTCCCAATGCACGAGAGCCAGTTGCAGCTCATTCCGAGTTCACTTGGCACAATGTGGTGATGATTCTTACTGTGCTGCGGGCCTGCATGTACACCAGACGCGAGCTGCAGCCACGTGTGCAGCACGTGCTCGACTAGGAACCACCTTTGTACAAGTGCCGCTGATCATCTTCCCCTCCCTACATTTGACCCGCCCACGCCAACCTCACTTCGGCCCAACTGTGCCTCCCACCAAATGATGATGATACGCCCTCTGAGCATTTGATGGAACCCCCGGCTGGTGATGATGACCTTTCTCTGGAACGCTTGTCAGAGCAAAGGGAGTCATCAGGGCCAGCAATGCCTGACAGAGACTGCCAAGTCAGAAATGAGCCTCTCCCTGCCGTGCAATCAGCAGACCCAAATGACCTCATCGCGCTACAGCTGCAGCGATGCCACCCTGAGTACTATGCCATTAATATGCCTCCTCGCTTACAATTGCAACCCCTGTGCTGTTTATGACTTTGCAGACATTGCCCGCTGGATAGATGCAGGGCACTGTACTGTTTCACCTGAGGATGACAGTACTTCGGCTGGCATGGATACCAAAATGCTGTCTACGGCATTTGCAGGAAGTTAACTGCAACCGCAGCCTGCTGCACGGAGTTAT